CAATTGACCAGCGAACAATCGTATGGAAATTCTCCGGACTGGTGTTATCACTTATTTAGCATCGCTAACCCCTCATTACAGCGCTGGGTGGGGGGAGGGGATGGATGGGTATTGGATCCTAATGGCGGACACGGCGACTCACATTACACACAACAAAACCCCCACCCCCACCCCCACCCCACCACATTACAACAGATCCCAACCCACGTGGCATGCTCTTTTCTCTCCAGTTGATTTAAAATTTTGGGAACTTGCTATGGATGAAAAGTTTATCAGGGGACATCATCGGATAGGCCGCGACCCAACCAGCCTGCAGGGTTGACAAAAGCCATTCTTTTCCTCTCCGGTCACAGGCTGAACGATAACTCAGTAATTAACAGAGTTTGTCTCCCTTTGCCCGCATACAAAGAAACATCTAACTATGTGTCGAAAAATCTATACATTACAAAATAAATTCACGCACTACTTACAAAATATATAAAATTCAAAGCTGCGTTCTAAATTTCTCAAAATTAAAAAATGCACTTTGAAAATGTTTTATTATTGTAAAACATGTTTTGTTTCTTGAATAATTAAATCAGGTTTTTTAATTAATAAACTTTAACTTTCCGGATCTTCGCTGACTTCACTTCTAAAGTAACAGTGTAACAAAGGCCAATCATACTGCTGAATAACCAGACAGTTCTAGTGCAGTCAGTCACCATGTGATGGGCATTCACGCAACTGTACCCTAGTACAGTCGGCCTGAGTCGGCCACTCTACCCTAGTCAGCTACTGTACCCCAGTCCAGTCATCTGCCCCATACAAATATCCACTACCACTGCCCACTAGATCGTACAACACAACCACATACAAGCACCACCCGCCACATACAAGCACCACCCGCCACATATAAGCACCACCCACCACATACAAGCACCACCCACCACATACAAGCACCACCCGCCACATATAAGCACCACCCACCACATACAAGCACCACCCACCACATACAAGCACCACCCACCACATACAAGCACCACTCACCACCAGCTGATCTGCCGCACGCTGTTACTAGTCCAATTATTTGTTTAACCCTAACCCGCACACACATTAGCTTATGAGCCTATGACGTAGTTGATTAAAACTCCAACCATTGTGAATAACGACCACCCCCCCCCCCCCCCCCACACACACATGTCAACCATGACCCCCCCCCCCCCCCACACTTGACTACATTAAGCCAATGACCGACAGAACGAATTGTGTGGTGTGTTTAAGTCAATCAATACAAATGTTGCTCTATGACAACATTTTTCTCTATGGGCAGAACTTCAGAAAATTGTGACGTCAGTTTGTATGGCAGTTAATGTATGACGTCAAATCGTCTGTGCGGTAAATGTCCTTTATATGGCGTCAAAGTGTCTGACAAACATGAACAGCTGAAGCCCCCCTCCCCCCCCCCCCCCCCCCCGCAAACACACACACACACATAACCCCCACATTCGATCTCTCAGTGTTGGGGTACAAACATAAGATCTATCACGATGTAGGTAATACAATTCTGTTGACTGAAGTAGGGAGGGGGAGGGGGGGGGGGGGGGGTACTTGAGACGTTTGTACGTTGTGTTTATTTCATGAGTTGCTCTCGCACCTGCTGTTTCACATGGTTCGTGTGCTCTCTACCACAGGGTTCGTGTGCTCTCTACCACAGGGTTCGTGTGCTCTCTACCACAGGGTTCGTGTGCTCTCTACCACAGGGTTCGTGTGCTCTCTACCACAGGGTTCATGTGCTCTCTACCACAGGGTTCGTGTGCTCTCTACCATAGGGTTCGTGTGCTCTATACCACAGGGTTCGTGTGCTCTCTACCACAGGGTTCATGTGCTCTCTACCACAGGGTTCGTGTGCTCACTACCACAGGGTTCGTGTGCTCTCTACCACAGGGTTCGTGTGCTCTCTACCACAGGGTTCGTGTGCTCTCTACCACAGGGTTCGTGTGCTCTCTACCACAGGGTTCGTGTGCTCTCTACCACAGGGTTCGTGTGCTCTCTACCACAGGGTTCGTGTGCTCTCTACCACAGGGTTCGTGTGCTCTCTACCACAGGGTTCGTGTGCTCTCTACCACAGGGTTCGTGTGCTCACTACCACAGGGTTCGTGTGCTCTCTACCACAGGGTTCGTGTGCTCACTACCACAGGGTTCGTGTGCTCACTACCACAGGGTTCATGTGCTCTCTACCACAGGGTTCGTGTGCTCTCTACCACAGGGTTCGTGTGCTCTCTACCACAGGGTTCGTGTGCTCGCCATTGCTATGACACTACCATACACACCAAACATTATAAAGACATTACCACACACACACACCAGACTTTATAATGACACTACCACATTCACACACACACCAGACATTATAATGCCATTACCACACACACACACACCAGACATTATAATGACATTACCACACACACACACCAGACATTATAATGACATTACCACACACACACACCAGACAATATAATGACATTACCACACACACACACCAGACATTATAATGACATTACCACACACACACACACACACACCAGACAATATAATGACATTACCACACACACACACCAGACAATATAATGACATTACCACACACACACACACACACACCAGACAATATAATGACATTACCACACACACACACCAGACAATATAATGACATTACCACACACACACACACACACACCAGACAATATAATGACATTACCACACACACACACCAGACATTATGACATCACCACACACACACACCAGACAATATAATGACACCAACACACACACACCAGACAATATAATGACATTACCACACACACACACACCAGACATTATAATGACATTACCACACACACACACCAGACATTATAAAGACATTACCACACACACACACCAGACTTTATAATGACACTACCACATTCACACACACACCAGACATTATAATGCCATTACCACACACACACACACCAGACATTATAATGACATTACCACACACACACACACCAGACATTATAATGACATTACCACACACACACACACCAGACATTATAATGACATTACCACACACACACACCAGACATTATAAAGACATTACCACACACACACACCAGACTTTATAATGACACTACCACATTCACACACACACCAGACATTATAATGACATTACCACACACACACACCAGACATTATAATGACATTACCACACACACACACACACACACCAGACAATATAATGACATTACCACACACACACACCAGACAATATAATGACATAACCACACACACACACACACACCAGACAATATAATGACATTACCACACACACACACCAGACAATATAATGACATTACCACACACACACACACACACACCAGACAATATAATGACATTACCACACACACACACCAGACATTATGACATCACCACACACACACACCAGACAATATAATGACACCAACACACACACACCAGACAATATAATGACATTACCACACACACACACCAGACATTATAATGCCATTACCACACACACACACACCAGACATTATAATGACATTACCACACACACACACCAGACATTATAAAGACATTACCACACACACACACCAGACTTTATAATGACACTACCACATTCACACAAACACCAGACATTATAATGCCATTACCACACACACACACACCAGACATTATAATGACATTACCACACACACACACCAGACATTATAATGACATTACCACACACACACACCAGACAATATAATGACATTACCACACACACACACCAGACATTATAATGACATTACCACACACACACACACACACACCAGACATTATAATGACATTACCACACACACACACCAGACAATATAATGACATTACCACACACACACACCAGACATTATAATGACATTACCACACACACACACACACACCAGACAATATAATGACATTACCACACACACACACCAGACAATATAATGACATTACCACACACACACACACACACACCAGACAATATAATGACATTACCACACACACACACCAGACAATATAATGACATTACCACACACACACACACACACACACCAGACAATATAATGACATTACCACACACACACACCAGACATTATGACATCACCACACACACACACCAGACAATATAATGACACCAACACACACACACCAGACAATATAATGACATTACCACACACACACACACACACACCAGACATTATAATGACACTACTACACACACACACCAGACATTATAATGACATTACCACACACAAATCAGACAATATAATGACACTACCACACACACACCAGACATTATAATTACATTATCATACACGCCAGACAATATAATGACACTACCACACACACACCAGACAATATAATGACATTACCACACACACACACACACACCAGACATTATAATGACATTACCACACACACACCAGACAATATAATGACACCACACACACACACATACACCAGACATTATAATGACACTACCACACACACACACCAGACATTATAATGACACTACCACACACACACACACCAGACATTATAATGACACTAAATTCCCGCCCACGAAAAATAATTGAAAGCACGCGTTGAAATATCTGTAATATTTATAATGATAACAGTCATCAGTTAAAACAATTTTAAAATCCCTAATTGCACGGGAAAACTATCAAGCTAGTAATATAGCACGTGACTTCAGTGGGAGAGAACAGGCGGGGGGGGGGGCCTTCTTTGTCGGCGGTCTTTTTCTTTGCAACTACTTCTTTTCTTATCTTTTCGTTCTCACTCAATCTTTCTTTTTATCATTTCCTTATCTCATTTCTTCCTTTCTCTTTCATTCCTTTCATTTTTTTTCTCTTTTCGTCCTTGCTGGTTATCATTTCTTTCCTTCTCTCTTTCTTCCTACGTTTATTCATTTCTTCCTTTTTCCCTCTGCTTCATTCTTTCCTTTATCTCTTTCCTTCCTTTCTTCCTTTCTTCCTCTCGTTCCTTTCTTCCTCTCGTTCCTTTCTTCCTCTCGTTCCTTTCTTCCTCTCGTTCCTTTCTTCCTCTCGTTCCTTCCTTTCTTCCTCTCGTTCCTTCCTTTCTTCCTCTCGTTCCTTCCTTCCTTCCTCTCGTTCCTTTCTTCCTCTCGTTCCTTTCTTCCTCTCGTTCCTTCCTTCCTCTCGTTCCTTCCTTTCTTCCTCTCGTTCCTTTCTTCCTCTCGTTCCTTTCTTCCTCTCGTTCCTTTCTTCCTCTCGTTCCTTCCTTCCTCTCGTTCCTTCCTTTCTTCCTCTCGTTCCTTCCTTTCTTCCTCTCGTTCCTTCCTTCCTCTCGTTCCTTCCTTCCTTCCTCTCGTTCCTTCCTTCCTTCCTCTCGTCCCTTCCTTTCTTCCTCTCGTTCCTTCCTCTGGTTCCTTCCTTTCTTCCTCTATTTCCTTCCTTTCTTCCTCTATTTCCTTCCTTTCTTCCTCTATTTCCTTCCTTTCTTCCTCTATTTCCTTCCTTTCTTCCTCTATTTCCTTCCTTTCCTTCTAAAACGTTATTGATTGAGCGCTGCTGTTTCTGTGCGGGCAATTTGAAGCCGCGCGGTAATTAAACTACGCGAGATAACTCGCTGTCGACCTGTCATTGAGATAGCTTAAGGCTGAGAACAATCGATAGTCTCCCCTTCCCCCATTACCACCATTTACATTTTATTGCCACCCTGATCATTTTTTTCGCTAATACATGCAAGCATCGTGCCTTGTGTCGTCACGCACCAGGCTCTACTCCACTGATTTCACGCATTACACGGCTGATACTACACACCTAGATATACACACTACACACCCAGACATACACACTACACACCCAGATATACACACTACACACACTACACACCCAGACATACACTCTACACACGCAGACACACTACACACCCAGACATACACACCCAGACATACACCAGACATATCCAGACAAACACACTACACACCCAGACATACACAACACACTACACACCCAGACATACACACTACACACCCAGACATACACAACACACTACACACCTAGACATACACACTACACATCCAGACAAACACACTATAAACTCTACACACCCAGAGATACACACTACACACCCAAAGTACACACCCAGATACCCAAAATACACACCCAGACATACACTCTACACACCCAGACATACACTCTACACACCCAGACATACACTCAACACACCCAGACATACACTCTACACACCCAGACATACACTCTACACACCCAGACATACACTCTACACACCCAGACATACACTCTACACACCCAGACATACACTCTACACATCCATTCATACACACTATACACTCTACACACCCAGAGATACACACTACACACCCAAAGTACACACCCAGATACCCAAAATACACACCCAGGCATACACACTACACACTCAGGAACCCAAACTACACACACCAGACACAATTTAAAAAATGACAACTAGATCTATTCAACGGTTTAAGAATGTTTTGAACACAAAACATGGTAACAAAGAGAAGCTACGATAAAACTGTATTGTGTTGGTAGTCGCCACACTAAGACCCTCACAGCAAGAGTCAGGTTGGGGTGGGGTGGGGGTAGTGAGGGTGGGGTGAGTTATTTAGATTTATATGATTCATTATGTACGGCTGGCTGGGCAGATGGAATGAATACTCCTTATATTTTCTAGGGTTTCTTGCGCTAAGCTAGAATATTATCACATTTTGAACGCACGTGATATCGTGGATTTCAAGTCCCATGTAACACAAAGCACGTGTCAGTGAAGATGATGGAGTGAGCGCGATCATGCACATATAAATAGGAAATTTTAACAACATAAGTTTGTGACACGTCCATCTCCAGAGATTCTAGTGTTTTGCCTCGAGGTCTCTGATAAAAATGTTCACCGAATGTGCTGCACAAAGAATAAAAAATAAAACTGAATTTTTGTATGTCTAAATTTTAACCCCACCCCTTAATTAAAAACCCCATAATTAAAGTAACAATTAAGCTACTTTAATTTTCTTTAAACTGACTTTTGTTTTAATCTGTTTAAATATACATCATCGCCAGCGGGGATTGGGTTTATTTTTAGCAAAGGAGCAGTTGCTTCCCTCTAGACATGTATTTTAATTAGTTATGTCCCTTTGATCGTGTTTTTCTTCCTATCCTTTATGAATGATGGCTGAAAGACCAAGCTTGTTCCTTGTTTGTTAGCTTCAGCAGATGTATGCCCAGCATTTTAATCGCACAAGGAAGTCCACCAGTAAAAATGTATTTTTATGGCATAAAATTTCTAAAAGCCATTTCTTCATCTTTCAGCGTCAGATTGGCATGTTTAACTTCAGTAACGTGTTAAAATTATTCTACTAAAGATTTTTTTTTTGTTAACTCTCTGAGCAAACGGAAACATGCAGCCCACGTTTGATGGATTCCTAAAGCATGTTCACACTGCACTGTCTACAGTCAATACATGAGTTGTCTGACGTTGATTGTGGCGACAAATTGCGTACAGAAAAACGTGGATAATATGTTGAGATTTGCCTTTGAATGCTAGTTTACTTCCTATAGTTGTCGCTTTCTCGCTGTGAGGTGGGTGAATGTTTGAAGGTTTGTACAACACTGATTCATAAAGATTTTTTATGACATGACAACAGTATTTTATATGACAACATGTGACATGGTCATGGTATGCCCTATATGACAGCATGACACGTGATACATGACAGCATGCTTTAATACAACATGACAGCATGCTTTAATACAACATGACAGCATGCTTTAATACAACATGACAGCATGCTTTAATACAACATGACAGCATGCTTTAATACAACATGACAGCATGCTACACGACATGGTACAGCTTATCCTTATTAAACATTAGATTAATTTTGTCACGAGAATGCAGTACACAGTAGAATTTTGGGCAGGTGGAGTAGAGTTCACCTGTTTGTACCAGACAGAATTTTGTGATGTTTTGACGACGGGCCTAGTGATGCGTGTTACGGCACATACTGGAGTCAATGACGCGTATAACGATGTATGATCGAGCTTCGTGACTCTTGGTGTACAGTGACGCTAATGACGCGTGTGTGTATGTGGAGCTGGTGGTGCATGCTGGGATGTATCGGGGATCACGTGATGGCTACGTCACTCTCGTCAATCAGTGTCAAACAAGAGATGGTTTCAGCTGGCGAGTGCTTAGCCTCTGCTCGTCTTGTGAGTGCTTAGCCTCTGCTCACCTTGTGAGTGCTTAGCCTCTGCTCACCTTGTGAGTGCTTAGCCTCTGCTCACCTTGTGAGTGCTTAGCCTCTGCTCAACTTGTGACTTAGCCTCTGCTCACCTTGTGAGTGCTTAGCCTCTGCTCACCTTGTGAGTGCTTAGCCTCTACTCGTCTTGTGAGTGCTTAGCCTCTGCTCGCCTTGTGAGTGCTAAGCCTCTGCTCGTCTTGTGAGTGCTTAGCCTCTGCTCAACTTGTGACTTAGCCTCTGCTCACCTTGTGAGTGCTTAGCCTCTGCTCACCTTGTGAGTGCTTAGCCTCTGCTCACCTTGTGAGTGCTTAGCCTCTACTCGTCTTGTGAGTGCTTAGCCTCTGCTCACCTTGTGAGTGCTTAGCCTCTGCTCACCTTGTGAGTCCTTAGCCTCTACTCGTCTTGTGAGTGCTTAGCCTCTGCTCGTCTTGTGAGTTCAAGGTATGTTGTACCAAGACATGTCCATGTACACACTGGGTTTATGTCACCTGTCATCATACATCCCGCAGTCTTACGTCCTCTGTTCCCTTCCTTTGACAGAGACACCTCTTTCTTCCACACACAGACTTTGGTCCCGGTTACCATTACATTGACAGACTTACGTAACCTATTACCATTACATTTACAGATTTACGTAACCTATTACCATACACCGACAGACTTACGTAACCTGTATTAAAGCTGTTACTAGTGTTAGTCCCTAGTACACACTACACCGACCGACCTATGTCCCCTATTACCCACTAAGACCACTGCACCCTCAAGTCCCATGTAAACATTACAATTACGTCCCTTATGAGCACTGCACCAAAAGACTTGCGCCCCCAGTTCACTGTTACACAATATCCACGACGTGCTATGCCTGCAGCGAAAAAAAAAACCCACGACAAATGCTCAAACAGCGAGTGTCGAGGGAAGACAGTCGCGTGCAGCTCTACTAAAATGGCAATGGCCGTGTCGCCTGACCTCCCCACCCCGCGCGCCGTGCACACGATCACCCGGCGTCTAGACACGTGCACGCATGCGCAGGCGTGATGGTATAATGGAGGCCCGCGTACTTGCAGTGGCGTGTCTGTGTTTACACTGGTCCTACAAATTGCAGACCTTTGCTTGATGCGCATGCGCCTGATGGAAGGACCTCTTGCGGTGGCGTCGACTTGTACAATGAATTAGCCAACTTGTAAAATAGATGGCCTATAAACTATTTGAATTGATTGAAATATAGAATTGTTTGCGTCGGTCGTAACTGTGTACTCATTACAATTATTGTTGTAGATCCACCAAACCTCTGTTATTATAATGTGGTTGTGAAAATAACTCGCATATAAAAAAAATTAACGTTTTCAGCGGTATACTGATAATTGAATTTTTAATTTTAAACGAGTTAAAACGTGTCGCATCTAAGTCGTGTTGAGCTCTTTCGTACATGGTGCGGGAATACCACTTTTTTTTACAGGGAATACCACCATAGTATCGCGAATCGGGAATACTACCTAAGTACAAGTAACACTACCTTATCAGGGAATACCTTTATGGTGTACGGAATACCACTTTAATACCCGAAACACCACCAAGAGTACGAAATACCACCTTAGTAGAGCAAGTACCACCACAGAACAAGGAATACCACCTTACAATCCGTGGTGTAGCAAATGTCACTGTACCAATAGGTCAATAAGGAATTGACCATACATTAATTTGACTCCGGTTATTTTATCCCTCTCCCACCACATAACGACAAAGTATTCACAAGATGCAGGACTCTACCAAACGATGACATACGACATTGTGCGGTGACACCGGATTTTGTGAGGTGGCACATGACATTGAATGGTGACACATGACATTGAATGGTGACACATGACATTGTGTAGAAACACGGAACTTGCTGTGGGGAAATCACCACCTGGAATGTCATTTTATATTTATGGATGTCACCAAACACCTGTATGTCATCTGAGTGGATGTCGCCGGCGGCTGTATGTGACATTATATGAGTGGTCGCCGCCGATTGCTGTATGTCATGTTTCTAAGTGTGCCGACCAACAGAGCACTTGAGATGTATGTGTAGCTGTGCAGGGGACAGAACTCACTTAGTCCAGCCCGTAATGGATTACTTCTCTCGCCAGCCGGCCCGGCGTATCGGCCAAATGTGTCGGTCACGTGACGTGTCACCGGACACACGACGCTGACGTCTGCGCAATGGAAGGCGTGCGTGCGCAGCCGTAAGTGTGAGCGACAGCCTGGACACAAAGTGCGCATGCGCGGGCCGCTGGTACGTACGTCACTACCGGCCCACTTGGCCAGACTTTTAGCCGTCTGCTGCAGCAAGACCAAATCACGTGCCGCGTTGAGGCCACACTCCGCGCCCCCAGCCAGTCCGGCAATACGAAATGTTTTTCCTTGCGGTGTGTCAGCC